CATCAGGTCCAGGACTTTTCTTTGTTGATGAGATTTTTGATTACTGGTTCAATCTCCTTACTAGTTATAGGTCTATTCAGATTTTCTGTTTCTTAGTGATTTAGTCTTGGTAGGTTTTGTGTTTCTAGGAATATGTGCATTACATGTAGGTTATATAATTTATTGACGTACAGTGTTCATAGTACTCTCTTATAATCCTTTTTATTTCTGTAGAATCAGTAGTAATATCCTCATTTTCTTTTCTGATCGTAGTAATTTGAGTCTTCTCTTTTTTTTTTTTTTTAAAGATTTTATTTATTTTATTTTTTCCCCCCAAAGCCCCAGTAGATAGTTGTATGTCATAGCTGCACATCCTTCTAGTTGCTGTATGTGGGACTCGGCCTCAGGATGGAGGGAGAAGTGGTGCCTCGATGCGCACCCGGGATCCGAACCCGGGCCACCAGCATTGCAGCGCGCGCACTTAACCACCAAGCCACAGGGCCGGCCCTGAGTCTTCTCTTTTTGCTTAGCCCATCTAGTTAAAGTTTTGTCCATCTTGTTGATCATTTCAAAACACCAACTTTTGGTTTCATTGATTTTTCTCTATTGTTTTTCTATTCTCTGTTTCATTTCTCTCTGCTCTAGTCCTTATTATTTCCTTCCTTCTGCTAGCTTTGGCTTTAGTTGTTCTTTTTCTAGTTTCTTAAGTTATAAAGTTATGTTGTTGATTTGAGATCTTCTCATTTTATAATGTAATCTTTTATAGCTATACATTTTCCTCTTAGTACTGCTTTTGTTTTATCTCATGTTTTGGTATTTTGTGTTTTTATTTTTATTTATCTGTAAGTATTTTCTAATATTTCTTGTGATTTCTTCTTATTCCATTGGTTGTTTAATAGTGTGTGTTTTTTTTGTTTTTGTGAGGAGATCAGCCCTGTGCTAACATCTGCCAATCCTTCTCTTTTGTTGCCGAGGAAGACTGGCCCTGGGCTAACATCTGTGCCCATCTTCCTCCACCTTATATGGGATGCCACCGCAGCATGGCTTGCCAAGCAGTGCGTCAGTGCGTGCCCGGGAGCTGAACCGGCGAACCCCGGGCCACTGCAGTAGAGCACGCACATTTAACCGCTTGCACCATGGGGCCGGCCCCAATAGTGTGTTTTTTAATTTACACAAAGTGTGAATTTTCTAGTTTTACTTTTGGTATTGATTTCTATCTTCATCCCATTGTGGTTGCAGAAGATACTTTGTATGATATCTATCATTTATTTATTTATTTATTGCTGAGGCGGATTCACCCTGAGCTAACATTTGTTGCTAATCTTCCCCCTTTTTTTTTATGTGAGCTGCCACCACAGCATGGCCACTAACAGACAAGTGGTGTGGTTCCGTGCCTGGGAACCGGACCTGGGCCGCTGAAGCGGAGCGTGCCGAACTTTAACTGCTAGGCCATCGGGGCTGGCGCCTCTATCTTTTAAATATTGAGACTAATTTGAGACTTAATTTGTGGCCTAATGTATGGTCTGTCCTGGAAATTGTCCCGTGTGCACTCAAGAACAATGTGTATGCTGTGGTTGTTGGGTGGAGGGTTCTGTATATGTCTGTTAGATCTAGTTGGTTTATTGTGTTAAGTCCTCTGTTTCCTTACTTGTTTTCTATCTAGTTGATCTCTCCGTTATTGAGTGGGGTACTGAAGTCTCTAGCTATTATTGTAGAACTGTCTGTTTCTCCTTCAACTCTGTCAGGAGAATTGCTTCATATGTTTAAAATCCATTTTGTCTGATATTCGTGTAGCCACCCTTGCTCTTTTTTCCCCCTGCTGTCTCTTACTATTTGCAAAGAGTATCTTTCTCCGTCCTTTCACATTCAGCCTGCTGTGTCTTGGATCTCAAGTGAGTCTCTTGTAGACAGCATGTTGTTGAATTATGTGTTTGTATCTGTTCTGCCAAATTCTGTCGTTTGACAGGAGGATTTAATCCACTTACATTTAAAGTAATTACTGACAAAGAAGGACTTCTGCAATTGTGCTATTTGTTTTCTCTATGCCTTGTAGCTTTTTTGTCCCTCATTTCCTGTGTTACTGTCTTCTTTTGCTTTAGTTGAATTTTTTGTGATGAAATGTTTTGATTCCCTTTTCATTTCCTTTTGTCTGTTATTCTACAGCTGTTTTCTTTGTGGTTACCATCAGGATTACGTTTAACATCCTAAAGTTATAACAATCTAATTTGAATTTAACCAGCTTAACTTGAATAACAGACAAAAACTCTGCTCCTTTATAGCTCTGTCACCACCCCTTTTGGTTGTTGATGTCACAAAATTACATCTTTATGCATTGTGTGCCCAAAACCTTAAACTAGTAATTATTTTAAATGCATTAATCTCCTAAATTATGCAGGGAACAAGATTTGCAGTTACAAACCAAAGTTACAATAATACTAGCTTTTAGACTAAAAATTGGTTTTTTAAACATGTATTAGTCTCTTAAATCATGTAGAAAACAGAAAGTAGAGTTACAACCATTGTTATAATAATTCTGGTTTTTATAATCGTGCGTGTATTTACCTGTCTTGAGATCTTTATTTCTCCCTGTGGCTTTGAGGTCCAGTCTGGTGTCCTTTCGTTTCACCCTGCAGGACTCCCATGAGCATTTCTTCAGGGCAGGTCTAGTGACAACAGACTCTCTCAGCTTTTATTTATCTGGGAATGTCTTAATTTCTCCCTTACTTTCGAAGGACAGTTTTGCCAGATACAGGATTCTTGGTTGACAGTTTTTTCTTTTAGCACTTTGACTATATTAGCCCTTTGCCTTCTGTCCTCCAAAGTTTGTGATGAGAAATCTGTTCATAATCTTGTTGAGGATCCCTTGTATGTGATGAGTCACTTCTCTCTTGCAGCTTTCAAGATTGTCTCTTTGTCTTTGCCTTTAGAAAGTTTGATTATCATGTGTCTCGGTATGGGACCCCTTAAGTTTATGTTACCTGGAGTGCATTGAGTTTCTTGGCTGTTTATAATCTTATCTTTCATCCAAGTTGGGAAGTTTTCAGCCACTGTTTCTTCAGATATTCTCTCTGCCCCTCTCTCTTCTCTTTTTGTGACTTCTACAATGCGTGTGTTGGTCTGATGTGTCCCACAGGTCTCTTATGCTCTGTTCACTTTTCTTCACATTTTTTTCTGTTCCTTAGATTCAGTAATTTCCATTGTCCAGTCTTCAAGTTTGCTGATTCTTTCTTCTGCCAGATCAGGTCTGCCTTTGCATCCCTCTAGTGAATTTTTCATTTCAGTTATTGTTCTTTTCAGCTCCAGTATTTCCTTTTGGTTTCTTTGTAGGCTTTCTGTCTCATTATTGATATTTCCATTGTTTTCCCCATAGATTATTTTCTTGACTTTCTTTAGTTTTTGAGCCTCTTTAGACAGTTGTTTTAATATCTTTGCCAGGTAGATCTACCTTCACGTCTTTTTCAGGGACAGTTTCTATGGTTAATTTTTTCCTTTGAATGGCCCATAATTTCCTATTTCTTTGTATACCTTTTGATTTTTTGTTGAAAACTGGACATTTAAGTCTAGTAATGAGTCTGAAAATCATTTTTTTTCCATTCCTTAGTGTTTACTGTTTTTTGTTTTTATTTATTATTGTTGTAGGCTGTCTCTGTGCCGGGGATCAGCCTGAGGTGTAAACTTAAGGTCTTCTCAGGTCTTTTCTGAGCCCGTGCCTTTCCCTGGGCGTGCATGGTCACTTTCTGGTTTTCCCAGTACATTCCGTTGCTTTTGAAGGTCCTACTCTTTAACTCCTGGCTCCCAAAGGGGGGACAAGAGAACAATGAAGGGAGGATAAGGCAATGCCAGCCCTTGAATACTCTGCCGTCACTTCATGGGCGGGGGGCTTGCTCTGGGGGGAGGTGCAGCAACATGGCTGCCCTCCTCTTTGTCTGCACCTCTGTGACCGGAAGCAGCAGTCAGCAGTTGGGCACAGACCCCCAGTATTAGGAGGACAGGGTCCCTTTTGTCCACCCTCATTCCCACAAGCTGTGTGCAAGTTGCTTCAGGATCTGGTGCACAGCTATCTGCCCCTAGGGTGGATGATGTGTATCTGCTACTGTGCTTAGAGCTGAAGTTGATGCATTAACCACAGTTTACCATCCAAGCCTTCTCCTGGAATTTGCAAGCCTTCACTAGACCCCAGAGTTCCAAAATAGTTGTACCAGACAGATTCTGCCAGAGTGATTGTTTTGTAGGTGGAGAGACAGATTCCTGGTGCTTCCGACTCCACCATCTTCCTAGAATCCTTCTAATGTGCGTTTTATTTGCTATCTCTTGTATTGCTTGTCTCTCCCATTGATATGTCGTCTCCATGAGGACAGTGCCTTATATTTCCTGTTTTGTTCACTGTACCCCAGAGCCTGGAAAAATCGACACACAGTAGGTGCTCAGTAACTATCTGTCTTGTTACTCCACTGTAGCAGAGATGGTGGGTAGTTGTGTTCCATCTTGAATGCAAGGACAGTGAGGTCCTGTGTTTGATTCTTAAGTTTCTGAAGCTGATGCCTGCATACAGTTCTCATTAGATATTTGCTTTGAGCTTCTGTAGCTCCTTTTAGACACATTGGATTCCTGACTTATATTTACACTGGCACCTTGTCTGTCTTATTGGTATTGTTATATGTAGTTTTTGAGGTAATAATCTGAACTTCAGGAGCTACGGACTGGCAGCTGCTCTGGGCCAGGGTGTGTGTTGTGTGGCCAGCACACACACAGCACACACACACAGGTTGTGTGGTTTGAACTGTCCTGACGTTGATGTAAAGCTTTAGGCAAGGCTTGTCCTTTAGACCGGCCACTGCTCTGTGGTTTTACAATGATTGTTTCACTTTCACAATTCGAATCATTACTTTTCGTGTTTCTTTGTTTATTGTCAGTCTCTTGGTCTAGGCTTTGAGCTCCAAGAGGTCAGAAACCATGTCTACTTGGTTCACCACCTCCCCCCGCCCTGTCCTAGCCCAGTGCGGTGGTTCTAGATGCACTTGATACATAGTCGTTGAATGGATGAGCGAGTAACATCCAGGACCTGAGGTGATCCATAGTATAGAAGGTGTGGATATAAAGTAATAAGTTTGGTCTTCTTACCAAACATATTTAAACATGAATAGCCTTTAAAGCTGTGTGCTTGGCTGCCATTCATTGCTCAGGTCCTGTCTGAAATCCTTTCTGGGAATTGCTTTTTTTCAGTCACTCGATGAGTTAGCAGCACATTTGTTCAAGACGTGAGCATTTACAAAGTGCTCCCCATGTGTTTTCTCATTAGAATAATCATCCCCGGGCCGGCCCCATGGCTTAGCGGTTAAGTGTGCGCGCTCCGCTGCTGGCAGCCCGGGTTCGGATCCCGGGCGTGCACTGACGCACCGCTTCTCCGGCCACGCTGAGGCCACATCCCACAGACAGCGACTAGAAGGATGTGCGGCTATGACATACGACTATCTACTGGAGCTTTGCGGGAGGGGGAAGAATAATCATCCCCATTTTGAAATTAGGACACTTAGTTGCAGATAGAGGTAAATTTGCCCGTGTCACACAGCAAGTACATCAGGGTGGACTCGAGCCCGGCTCCCCAGTGCCGACTTGGTGCTCTTTCTGCTTCTCCCTGACAGTGAGTGCCTTGTCTTGGGGGCCTGGGCCTCTTGTGTGTTTTCTAGGAAAGAGGGTAGGATCACTCCAGCATCTTCCAGTAATGCTCAGTTCATTTTATAAAGCGCATTAGAAACCAAAATTGTTTTCTTGTGTCAGGGTGTCTAGGTAGCCATGGTAAGTGCTCTTTCTAAAAACTGAAGTAAGACATTGGCTTGTATTAGTGGTTAGCCCCGGCCCCCTGTTCTTGTGTCGGCAGCCCACACCGCAGGGTCTGGAGCTGTGCTTGGCCCCTCGCGTCTCGCCCTCCCTGGCGGGGCTGCTGTGCAGCCTGTGCTCCGTGTCTCACTGGAGAGCAGCACTCGCTTCAGCCTGGTTGCTCTTCCCAGGACTGGGCATTCAGGACTCTGGTCTGAAATAGTCTCTGGCCTTCCCTTTGGTTTTATTTTTACCACTGCCAGCCTGCACCCCTTTAAACTGGGGGCCCTAAGGCTGGCATCCAAAAATACACCCCACAGGCCACTCGTCCGTGGCTTGTGCCAGCATTCCAGGAAGGGCCTGCTGACCTGAAGGTATCCTCTGGCCTCTAGTCTAGTCTAGTCACTCTGCTCCAGGTCAAAAGACCAGAGAAGACACTGGCACCAGGACCCACCACTGGCACAGTAGCTGCCACCTAAGGTAGGACCTTTTTCTTTCTTTCCAGTCGAAGACAGCCTTAGCTGCCGCTTCTCATACGCTTCCGACCAAAAAAGAGAGCGGCTTTACTCTGCTTTTCCTTTCTGAAAATAGATAAGTATTTTCAGATATGGATCGTAAGCACGACCCATAGCTTATGTCACCTTTAATAGACCAGCTGTTTAGAGCCAGTCGTCAGTTACAAAATGGAAGCGTGGGTGTAGGTTTGTGGGAACAGGATCCTCGCTGCTTTTGGTGGTACTGAGCCACTTCTTGCTGCAGGATTTCGGCGTCCTGCTTCCAGCTGGAACCCCTCTCTGCCCTTTAGCCTGATTCTCTTGTGTGTGAACATGGCAAATTATTTCATGGCTAATCCTTCTTACCAACCTGAAATCATTTTTAGTTTTGTACTTTGGAGGGTTTTCAAATCTCCTCCTTTGATTTTCAGATGTGGTGTCAATGATTTAATTTCTGTGTGTGGTTTCTGAGTAGATTCCAACAACCTGTTTTCACTGATGGTTCAATTTATTTTATGTTTTATAATTGCTTGAGAGAAGAAAGGAATCTTAGGAATGCACTGTAGAATTTTGGCTAAGGGATGAGGAATGGAATAGATGGCATAAAAGGTTACATTTCTGCTCAGAGTTGATTTCTTGGTACAGTCTTGTTTGTCGTTTGAGATCCTAAAAGCCCTTTAAAGAACCTCTCAGTGGAAAAGAAGGGAGCAGCTGAATTCCGAAGTCACGGTGAGAGACCATGACCTTTCTGGAGCAGCACTCAGTGGTGAAGGGACTTGACTCTGTTCTCTTAGGTGTGGTGACCATAGTCTGTGATATATGAAAATACCAGCAGACGGGCTGAGTGCGTGAGCACCAGAGCTCTCTGACTGCCCCACGCGGTTGATGGGGCTCATTAGTGTAACGTCATGCTTCACGTCACTTCCCTGGCGGTTAAGAGGATGGGCGTGACTGTGCGTGCGCACATTTCTGTTAGGCAGTGTGCGCTCTACTTCCCAACCATGTATGGTGTGGTTTCTGTTCAAGGAGGGCTTACTCACCTTCTTCCTTTTGTGACTTCTGTCTCCCCGTGTACCTGTCCTGCTCTGCTCTGGCTCACAGTGGTGCTGGGCCAACTCTCCCTTCTTTCTACAAGCTGATCTCAAATGCTGGAAATCGTGAGCAAGATTTTTTTCCCACTTCCTTTTTATACCTTCATCTTGCCTTTATGTCTGAAACTAGCAGGTAAGAAACATTTTAGTGTCAAATGCAAAATTTATAAACATATTAAAGTCCTTCTTATATGTCATTTTCAAAGAAAATGAGTCCCCTTGGCCTTGCTTCACATAGGAGATTTATTTCCTAACCTGGAAACGTGCTCATCCGGGACACAGTTCCTGTCTTCCACTTTGGAGCGGTCCCTTTTGCTCAGAGAAGGCCCCCGTCACCACAGCAAGGCAGTGGAGTAATCTCTGTGTCTCTGAGCTCTCTTGGCCGTTCTGACTGCCAAGGGTGAGACAGGAAGGGGTGACACAGCTGTCTCTGAGAGCCCAGGAGGCCCATCGGCCTAGGGACCCAGCGGTGTGGCCACGTGCACTGCAGAATAGAATAAAAGTTGGGAGGTCTTTAAGAATTTGAAAAACTCCCAGATAGGGTCGGGATTGCCAATATGACCAGCCTTACCTGGAAATATAACTTCAGGAAAGTTATCCTGAAATTGAACCTGATTCTCTCAAATAAATAACTTACTCTGGAGTGTCTTTTCCCACCAGAAGCCTGAGTTAGCTGGGCAAGGTCGGCACTGGTTTCTAATTTATTTCGCATTCTGATTGTGTAACAACTTGCTAGACTGAAAGCAGATGTGCGCTTTCCCCACAGAAGGCCGGCCCGTGGGCCGAGGATGGATCCCATTAACCTGGTGCCATATTTGCCTCGGGCAAAGTGGTCCACAGGGCCAGGAGACCAAGGTTGGCATGCGATGTTGTGTCAGGTGCTCGAGGAATCCCAGAAGCATACGAGACGGTGTGTAGTCTTCTCTCTTTTCTTCATGTCATCGAGTGCTGGCTGGGGTTTTAAACAGGTGCATGAACACGCGGTTTGTTGGGAGCTGTAACTGTCTTACCTGGGGGCCTGTGTCTGCAGTGGGGGGCCTGCGTCTACAGTGGGGTCCTGCATCTACAGTGGGGGGCCTGCGTCTACAGTGGGGGCTTGCGTCTACAGTGGGGGTGGGCTGTGTCGACAGTGGTGGGGGGCTGTGTCTACAGGGTGGGGGGGCCTTGCTGGGGGGTTTATTCTCATCCTGCTCCTCCCTGGGTGTGAAAAAAGGGTCGAAGGGACATTTCAGCACTTGTCTGCTCTCTCTCTGCCATGTTGGCCTCGATGACTTATGGTAGCCACAGTTTCTGATACAAACCTTGGGATGTGGGATCCTGACTTCTGACAAAAATGGGGATGGTTTTCTGTTTTTTCCCCTCTTTGTTAATTTAATTAAACTAAAGGGTTTATGAAGATATAAAAATTAAACTACAGTGAACTATATGTTTAATGAGTTTCCTTTATTTGGAAGAAACCAGTTTTCATAAACTAGGGACTTTTTCAGACAACCTTGGGACTCTGATGGCTGTAAAACTAATTCCTGGGCCAGGAGCTTTGAGTTGGCTGTGGGTCATGATGATGCTGATGGCAGCTGCATTTACTGAGCACTTACCTCACCAGGGGCTGTGCACACATTTCCATGTGTTAATTCTTCTGACCTCATAACAAACCGGAGGTGGGTACTCACATGCCCTCATCTTACAGATGAGGATACTGGGGCCCAAAGCGGTGAGGGCCCTTACCCAGGCTGGCGAAGGGCAGGGCCGGGCTGGGAGCGCAGCCGAGCTGGCTCGAGGGTCCCCTATGTAGGCCCTGCACTGTGGTCATCTTGCTGCAGTTAGTTTGTGTTTTCCAGGTGGTCTCTGAAACCTCAGAATGTTGAGAGGCAGCAGGCTGCATATCGGTGCTTGGCCCCCACGCCTTCAGTGGAATTCTGGCCCAGCCCCAGGGTGCAGGTCTGAGACGCGCAGATTCTGCGGCCTCTGGTCTCCAGGGGCTGTGGAGGAGTGTGCAGAGTTGTTTCCGCAAGCTGACCTCATGGAGCTCTGGGCTGCAGCCCGGGGCCGAGCCCTGCTCTCCTTTGGTGAGCAGCGTCCCTACCCCCTGGTCATTCCTGCCGGGCAGTGGCCGGGCCCCAGGTCATTCTGGGCCCGGCAGGGTGATCCACCTTGGGACCTGCCTGGAATAAGGATCTGGGATTGCAGTGGGGAAAGAGGCTTCCCAAACAGCCATCCTGCTGGTTGAAATCCCCCCAAGTCTATTACATGAAAGTTCTGGGCTATAATTACCCTGGGGCCTACCTGTGTTTTCTGTCAGTTGCTATAATTTTCTGGTAAAGCTACATCAAACTGGCAGTCATTCCTGCCCCCTAGCAGTCACCCCTCCCGCCCCGGGAAACACTGGCACACCCTGCCGTTCCTCAGGAGCTGGGCCCTGGGAAGGCCCCCAGGCAGCGCCCGCAGACCCACGGGATGTCAGAGGCGCTGAGCCTGCTCTCAGTCTTTTTGAGTATCCCAGGTGCTAGACAAAGGATCCTTGGGTCCTGGCATTCCCTCCTCAGGATTCGGCCTGGCCTGGGGCCAGAACACCTGCCTGAGCTTCCTGTTGGGAGAGGGTTGGTGCCAGTAGTATCTGGGGAGAGAGCTTGGCACTTGAGAAACTGCTTTAATAATTTTATTTATTTATTTATTTTTCCCCCAAAGCCCCAGTAGATAGTTGTATGTCATAGCTGCACATCCTTCTAGTTGCTGTATGTGGGACACGGCCTCAGCGTGGCCGGAGAAGCGGTGCGTCGGTGTGCGCCCGGGATCCGAACCTGGGCCGCCAGCAGCGGAGCGCGCGCACTTAACTGCTAAGCCACGGGGCCAGCCCGAGAAACCACTTTAATTGCCAGTTCATCCAGGTGTAGGCTTGGCACCAGGTGGGGTGAGAGGGAATGGATCCACTTAGCAGAGAGTAGCTGGGCATTTTTCAGAAGTAGGTTAAGTGCAGGTTGATGGGAAACAGTCATTTTTACAGATGTTTGTCCAACAGTGTTGTCAGTTTTGTATGGTGAACAGGAATTTAGGTGTATTTGGAAAGGCAGGTGAAAAATTGAACTAAATACTGAGTTAGTCGACAGTTCAAATCGGAGCAGAACCCTTCTACAGGGGAACCATTTAGCTTCGATGGGGACAGCCTACCCTGAACCTGAGCTTCAGGATCAAAGCAACTTGGGATGTAGGTGGATCCGTACTGAAGTTGAGCGGGTTCCTGGCTTCACGGTGTCTACAGAGTTGGTGTTGTCTTTTTTTTTTTTTTTTTTTGTGAGGCAGATCAGCCCTGAGCTAACATCTGCCAGTCCTCCTCTTTTTGCTGAGGAAGACCAGTCCTGAGCTAACATCCATGCCCATCCATCCTCCTTTTTGTTTTTTTTTTTTTTTTCCACAAAGCCCCAGTAGATAGTTGTATGTCATAGTTGCACATCCTTCTAGTTGCTGTATGTGGGACGCCGCCTCAGCATGGCCTGGCAAGCGGTGCGTCGGCCCGTGCCCAGGATCCGAACCTGGGCTGCCAGCAGCGGAGCGTGCGCACT